CAACTCAAAAAAAAAAAAAAAAGTTTACCATGTCTTGAATAAATAGGGACAAATGTATTAGGAATGAAAACTGGTGTTTCCCAAATATCTGTCAACAACATCGCCTCTGTGGAATGTGTGGGGCTGTCACCGCGGTCCAGTCCGGAAGGCAGAAAGTCACCACAGTCTGGTCCAGAAGGCAGGAAGCCAGGCCTTGAGGCTAAGACTCTGTCCCACTGCCTCCCACACCTGCAGCAGGTAGAGCAAAATGGGCAGGTTGGTGTGCACAGGACTGGAGGGTCCTGGTGTGGTCCCCATTTAGAGAAGTACGTAGATGGAGCTCGTCAAGATGCCCTGGGGTCCAGAACCTCAAGTTGCCAGGGATGTGAGGGATGGGAGGGGAGGGAGGGATGTGCCCACCTGGGAGAGGGTGGGGCTCCGTTGCTGCTTCTGCCAGAGACATGATAGCAGTGCGAACCTCATGGTACTTCTGGGGACTGAGCGAGATAAGCCATGTACGCACATGGAAGGCCACTAGGGCATGGTGCACACGCGCCAAATGGGAGCTATTTTAGTATGCATAGGGCCAGGCCATTTGGCACTTGCGCCAACAACCCACAGCCCTGCACATCATTGACCCAGGAACAGGCCCCTCTGCCTGGGTCCGCCGTACCCAGCAGGACTGCTCAAGGGGACGTGCCTCTGCTCTGTCTGCTACACTAGGAGCTGGGAGCCAGTCAACCATGACCACTTCTCCTCCTCAGATGCTTTCTGACGTGCTGGCTCTGCCCATGCTTACAAGGACACACGGCGAGCACCTGCCCTAGTGTGTCCCCAGCAGCTGCTATACTGCCAACCCCTTCTTGTCACGGTCTTACTTCCTTCTGGAGGCTCCAGGTTATACTACATGGATTCCAAAGGAAACTGAGGACCAGAGAGTTTAAGAAAGATGCTTGAGGTCACAAAACTACCACATATCACACTCTGCAACGACTGGGCCTGGCAGTCTTTCTGCTGAGGGGTGGAGGAGGAGGCTGGCGAGGCCACACTGGGCTGGAGCCCATGAATGACGAGGGCTGGACCTGCCTTTCCCTTCATTCTGGATAAAGAAGGCAGATGGGACAGGGAAGCCCAGGGACCAACAGACAAGCAGAGTAAGAAAGCCTCAGCAGGATGGCACACACCAGGGAAGAGCAGGGGCTGAGCCCTCTTCCCGGGAGCCTTGAACCCAAAGCAGCACCAGCAGGGCCTCAGGAGCAAAGACAGTGTAAAGAGGTGAGCTAAAGAGCCCCTGCTGCCACCCAGCACAAAGGCCGCTCCTTCTGTCAGCAAGACCACATGGGTGTAAGAGGCTCTGCGTTAGGCGAGTTTCTAGCTCACCTCACCCTTTCTGCTCACTCTAAACACACCACACGCACTTTCTGTCCTCACCCAGGCTCTCCTGCTCCTTCCTGTGGCTCTAGCGCCAGCCCACCCATCCCTGTCTCCGCAGGCCCAGGTGCTTTCTCCCTCCTCTGACCTCCCAAGTCACAGGTCAATTATCAGTAAGAATAACAGTGTCGCCTTACAATGGGCCGGCATTGACCTGAGCACTGGCCCTACATATGCAACCTGCACCATCACGACAGTGCTGTGTGGCCAGGCAGTTGAGCAGTGTGTTCAGGTGAGTAGAGGCAGAGCTGGAATTCAAGCCCAGTCTGTCAAAGAGCAGAAGAGGGAGAGATTCTGAGTGTAAATGTCTCCATTCCCTGAGACTGTGTCCCTGGAGAACAAATGCTGGACTGTTCTTCCATGGAGAGTGTGGGCCCTATCCTCCAGCAGACAGGTATTGGCCAGACAACCAGAAACAGGCCCTGAGCACCAACACTTCACCTAACACCAAATGAGGAGGCACAGGTGCCAGGAACTGTGCCGAAGTCCAAGGAAGAATCCCCTTTTCCGAGGTTAGGGAATTGTTTCCCATGGTTTCTGTCCTCTGGGGTTCCTAGCAGCCCTATGAGGTGTCCACCTGCCACATTCTAGAAAGGAAAGGAATTCCGGTGCAGCAACGTGAAGCCAAGTGTCTTTTCCAAGTGGGTCCTGGCGTTGTGGCTCTCACAGGCTTCCCTGGATCAGGATGAGCCTGCCCTCTGCACTCCAGGCAGACCTGGCCCACCTCCAAGGCCCACCTCTTCACAGCAAGCCAGCCACACGCCATTGACTTCCTGCAGGCATGTCCTGAGCAGGCTACAGAACTGCGGGTACTAATGATCCATGAAGTTCCAACCATGTCCTGCGGCTCATCTCTTCTACCTCAGACCCTCCTTAGATCTTCTCCACTCGGAGCTTCTCCTGATCACCCCAGAATTCGAGTCAGGATCGGCTACATAATTTTCAGGTCCTGGTACCAAAATAAAACAAAACAAAATGATGCAGATGCCCCTATTCAAAAACTTAAAAATTTCAAGTTAGCAACAACATTAAAACAAGCACAGGCTCCTTTCTAGACAAGCCCTTTGCAACTCACATGTCGCAAGTCCATAAAGCCGGCTTTGTCTCCAGCCTCAACTCCAACACCTGTGGGTGACTCACTCTGGCCCCAAATTATTACATAACTTATACTACAATTTAAATTTTAATTTGAACAATAACAAGATATCTTCTTAGAAGCCAGGAACTGTGTTTTAGGCTTCTTTGTAAAAACCTTCCAGAACCTATGTAGCATTTATGAGGTATTCAAACACAATTAATTAATGATTAGTTCTGGCAGTAGTGGGAAACTGCTAGGGGAGGGAGAGGAGAACACACCTCAACAATAAAGGTACCTGATCTCAAACCAGGCGAAGTGGGGGCCAAAGCGAGGCCCAAACTTTACCTACACAATGACCATTTGTAAACCTGACGCTGAATTGTACCCCGCATCTTTAAAATAAAAGAAAAAATTTTTAAATTAATGATTAATTCATTAATGGTAGCCTCTTGAGGAGCTCCCTGAGAACATGCTCTCTTCACTCATTCCTGAACTACTGCTATGTGCAAAGCTCTGTGCCGAGCACCATGAGGAAGGGGGGTTTGGTCAGGTGTGGTTCTTTATCCTCAAGGGCAGAGTTCAATCATTCATTCACCAGCCACTGTTTCATTATTAAACATCTGGTATGTGTTGACACTGCACTGGATGTGCACATGGCCCCTCTAAAAACGCAAGAGCCTACAAGGGAAGCAAAGAAGCTGCCTGAAATTGACTGCTGGCCCAATTGCCAGGAGGACTTATGGAAGGCTCTAGGGGAACCCCCAAAGGGGCAGGCGCCTCATCTAAGCTCTGAGAAGGAGACCCTGATCAAGACCTCTGTTAGTCCCAGGAGGGCTCGTGACAACTGTAAGTCATTACCAGGCAGCAAAAAAAGTACTGATTTCATCCTGGCAGCGCCATGGCCCAGGGTCTGCTGCCCTCCCGGGCCCCGTGTGATGACACCGGCCAGCCTTGGCAGAGAGCCCAGGGCTAAACAAGTGAGGAAGACTGGGGGATTCAGGGCATCAGGCGCCTCCACCACACCCGAGAAGCATACCCATGCAGACCAGTTCTAGCCCCAGACTTCACTTCTCTCTCATCCAGCTCCCTTCCTCTCCTTGGTCATCACCTCCTGCCTGTGCTGCCAGCCAGCCCTGGCGGGACCTCTCTAACCTCACAGACAAGGAAGCTCACACAGCCCTTCCTGCTTGGTCTCCCACAACAGGAAGACATCGTGCTGCTTTTAGAGTTCCTGGGGCATTTTCCTTTCCTCTTGTTTTTGTTTTTTTGTTTGTTTGAGTTGGAGTCTCACTCTGTTGTCCCGGCTGGAGTTCAGTGGCACACGCATGGCCACCCCAGAGACGACCTGCTGAGCTCTGGCGATCCTTCCACCTAAGCCTTCCGAGTAGCTGGAACTACCAGGCGTGTGCTACCACACTCGGTTAATTTTTTTATTTATTGTACAGATGAAACCTCACCATGTTGCCCAGGCTGGTCTCGAACCTGTGGGCTCAGGCAATCCACTCACCTCGGCCTCCCAAAGTGCTGGGATTACAGGCTGAGCCACCGAGCCCAGCCTCCTCCTGCTTTTGAAACGTTGATTGGATACTCTTGGAGAGCACCAAGAAAGCAATAAAATCCTAAGCAAATTTCTTGCTTTCAAGGTAACATCTCCCAGCTTCCTCCACACCAGACCGCGCGGAGCCTTGCCACCAGGGGACAGCAAAGAGCCTGGAGGCCTCAGCCAAGTTCCCCGAGGTTGCTTGAGGACAGCGACAAGTGCCAGTGTAATTATTACTGATTGCGAGCCAGATCCTGTGCTGAGGGCCTCACAAGTTTTATCTTACTGTAGTTCCATTTACAGATGAAGAAACTGAGGCTCAGTGAGGTGAACACTTTACTTATATTCACACTGCTAGCAGGTGGTAGAGGCAGGATTTGAACTCCTATGTGTCCAGCTCCAAGAAGGTGTTTTGCTCTCTGAAGTATGCATTGTGTTACACCATTATTAGTTCCATTTTACAGATGAAGAGATTAAGGCTTAGAGAAACCAAGTCCACCCCAACCCATTTGCTCTCAAACTCTGGTTAATAGCACCTAACTCTGGATTTACCTCCTATTGAATGGAGATTAGTCATCCAGTTACCAAGGGACACACAGACAACAATCAGTCTCAGCCAGGTATGTTTGGCTGGTGTCTAGTTTATCTTTTAAAGGCAG